CCACACCCACCCACACCCACACCCACACCCACTCTCTAAAAAAAAAAAGGAGTTTTGCAGAACCCTCCGAAAAGGTTCTGTAGATTTCCAAAAGACTCCAAATATGTCCAAAGTCTCAAAAAAAGGATAAAAAATTCGACAGAACCTTTTGAAGGTTCTGTGGAGTATCCACTAGCAGAACCATCTCTTGCAGAACCTTTTTTTAGGTTCTGTAGAGCAAAAAAAGGTTCCGTGAGAAAATACGAATCCTTGAAGGTTCTGTACAAAACCATTAGGCCTCAGTACGGAACCATTAGGGTTTCTCGCGAAACGTTAATGGTTTTGTGCAGAACCCTCAAGGTTTCGTACTTTTTCGCTGAACCTTTTTTTGCTCTACAGAACCTAAAAAAAGGTTCTGCAAGAGATGGTTCTGCTAGTGGATACTCCACAGAACCTTCAAAAGGTTCTGTCGAATTTTTTATCCCTTTTTTGAGACTTTGGACACATTTGGAGTCTTTTGGAAATCTACAGAACCTTTTCGGAGGGTTCTGCAAAACTCCTTTTTTTTTTAGAGAGTGGGTGTGGGTGTGGGTGTGGGTGGGTGTGGGTGTGGGTGTGGGTGTGAGTGTGGGTGTGGGGTGTGGGGTGTGGATATTGGTCAGAACAGCACCCACACCCACACCCCACACCCACACCCACACCCACCCACACCCACACCCTCAAGCTGCTATTAAATCAATAATCTTCATATTAAAACAATTGCCCGTCAATGAAAAATCGTATCTTGATATCAATTTCTAACTTTTAAAACATCACTACTGTTTTGTTTAGAAACTCTATATGATAAATGTGATTTTCATTTTGTGAAGTAGAATGTCGGAATAAAGTTACATTTTTCAAAATTGCATATTTGCTCGGATAGTATGCTGTTGAATTTATATAATTACTCTATAAAAACTAGATGTCATCACTTGTAGCACATTCGATATTGATTAGAATTCTTTGCACCCTTTGTTCCACTAGATAATGTATTAGATGAGATAATGTCAAATTAGCCGTCTACATTTTTTTTTCATTGTGTTTAGTCGTCAGTAATGTACACAATCAGATCATTCGTCATATATAAAATTGATCAACTTATTTATAATGTGTCACTGATCAATATTATTTCTTATATGAAGACATTAAATCTATATTCATAGATAAGCAAGTTATAATTGTGTTGTCTATTCTCTCAAATCTACAATTTCATAAAATGACTCGATTAGAAAATTTGTCTAACGAACTATTCTTCGAAATTTTTGACTATTTACATGCACTTGATATTTTTATGGGATTTTCGTCACTCAACGAACGTATTTCAATGATTCTTTCTTCAATTCCTCTTCGTGTTGTTGTTTCATCATATCATTGTTATCGTCAACTAGAAATTCTATCATCATATCTCATGAATCACGCACATCAAGTCATTTCCCTTTCTCTTCAAAATTATGTTCGTGATTTTTCATCTGTTATTTCTTTCTTTTTTACTCGACATACATTTGAAAATCTTGAATTATGTGCATTTTACTCAGATCATTCATCACTACGACTACAAAATGTTATTCAACAACTACAAAATCTCAATAAACTTAGATCGTTTCGATTAATCGCAGCTCCTTGTATAGAATTTTGTGAAACAGAAAGGCAATATTTACGTCAAACTATTTTAACACATAAATCATCTTCACTTCGTTCAATCGAGCTTTCATATTACTTTAATCATTCACATATTACAACTGCCGTTACTTGTAATTGGATACTTACATCATTGACTTTGACATTTTATAAGTTACCTGGTAATTTATCAATTTATTGTATCCTTTCGGTGCTTCATACTTATCGTGCATTGCAACGTCTTCATTTATATATATCAACATTTACTCGTTCGGATGTTGAACAATCATAGTAAGTTTTTGTCAAATGATATACTATTAGTTTGCCATTTCATTGAAATTCTTTCAAGAATCACATAGAGTTTTAGTAGCTTTACAAATGTACGATTTTTTTATATATATTACTTTTGATAATTAGAGTAATATGTGTCGATGAAATTATTTTTTAAGTGATTCAAAGGATATTACACTTGTGTCTTTCAGAAGGGTGTGGGTGTGGGTGTGGGTGGGTGTGGGTGTGGGTGTAGGTGTGGGTGTGGGTGTGGGTGTGGGTGGGTGTGGGTGTGGGTGGGTGTGGGTGTGGGTGTGGATGTGGGTGTGGGTGTGGGTGGGTGGGTGTGGGTGTGGGTGTGGGTGTTGGTTCAATCAATGGTCATCCACACTCATACCCACATCTAATCACACCCACATCTAATCACGCCTACATCTAATCACACCCACATCTAATCACGCCCACATCTAATCACACCCATATCTACTCACACCCACATTTAGTCACACCCACATCTAGTCACACCCACATCTACCCACAGCCATGCCCTGCATTTAAACGATGTTCACGTCCTAACATCATAGAGAGAATCACACTATTCTGCATAGTCTATTCGAAATGGAGTATCTTGGAC